CCTAGTGAGGTAAGTGGCCTAGACCAGAAGTGCCTTCCAGTGGGAGGTGAGTCGGCCCCAGGTGTCCCAACCGGGACGCTCCTCAGACATCATGCTTGGTCTTCCCTGCCGCTCTGCCTCCCAAAGGAGGAAACTGAGGCACAGGTGTGCAGCCACCACCTGGTCCCCCCAGGCAGGCAGGGATCACGAGGCTGGAGTGGCCCAGGGTGACACCCTCTGTCTGAACCTTGAGGAACCACCTTCCTTCCCTCTCCAGGGCCCCACTGCTAGGGAGGGCAGGGGCAAGGCTGTGGCACAGTTGCAAGGAGTTAGGGAAGATGGAAATGCTTCCCAGAGTTCTTCAAGGGACCCCTAGGGTCCCCGTGGGCAATGTCAGGTCCATTGGCTGTTGTCTCTTTTTCTTCTTCTTTTTTTTTTTTTTTTTTTTGAGTTGGAGTTTCAATCTCGTTGCCAAGGCTGGAGTGCAATAGCATGATCTCAGCTCACTACAACCTTTGCCTCCCGGGTTCAAGCGATTCTCCTGCCTTAGCCTCCTGAGTAGCTGGGATTATAGGCACGAACCACCATGTCCATCTAATTTTTGTAGAGAGGGGGTTTCACCATGTTGGTCAGGCTGGTCATCTACTCCTGACCTCAGGTGATCCACCTGCCTCGGCCTCCCAAAGTGCTTAGATTACCCATGAGCCACCTCGCCAGCCTGCTTTTTGTACTTTTAGTAGAAACGGGGTTTCACCATGTTAGCCAGGATGGTCTCAATCTCCTGACCTTGTGATCTGCCCACCTCAGCTTCCCAAAGTGCTGGGATTACAGGCGTGAGCCACCGCGCCCAGCCTGTTGTCTCTTAAAGCCTCCATTGGAGGACCTCTGTCAGCCAGCTAGTGGGACATGTGGGAGGTTGAGGGGGCTTCACCCCATGTGCAGCGGGGCTGGGGGCACCCTGGGCAGGGCAGGGTGTGTGCTGTCCTCTCCTTGGGGTCACCTACCTTCCACCCCTAGGCCCCAGTGCTGGCAGCTTCTGGCAGCAGTAGGGCATCTGCATGAAGCCCCCACCCTGCTGCACCTTCTTGGGGCCACCACCTTCCCTCTGACCTGCCCCACCCTGTGCTGCTACCCACCTCCTTGCCTTTTACTTCATTTGTTTTTCTTTTTGAGACAAGGTCTTGCTCTGTCACCCAGGGTGGGTGCAGTGATGCAGTCATGGCTCAGTGCAGCCTTAACCTCTCAGGCTCAAGCGATCCTCCTACCTCCCAACTTCCCGAGTAGCTGGTACAACAGGCCAGCGCCACCACACCTGGCTAATTTTTAAATTTTATGCAGACAGGGGTCTCACTTGTGTTGCCCAGGCTACTACTCAATTCCTGGGCTCGAGCAGCACTCTTGCCTTGGCCTCTGGAAGTGTTGGGATTACAGGTGTGGCCTCTGCTCCTGCTCCGGCCTGTCATGCCTGTTCTTCTCCTTGGTACTTCCTGCTGCTCCTCATCCCTCACTGACTGGTCTTGGGAGTGGGATGTGAGGTCCCTGCAAATCTCCCCTGGTGCATCTGGAGGGTCAAGGCTTGTCACCCACCATGTATGCTGGCTCCAGTTCCTGCTAGGCACAGGTCTGGGTACTGCCACCACGCCTGGCTAATTTTTGTATTGTTAGTAGAGACAGGGTTTCACCATGTTGGCCAGGCTGGTCTTGAACTCCTGACCTCAGGCGATCCACGCACCTCGGCCTCCCAAAGTGCTGGGATTATAGGCGTGGGCCACTGCTCCAGGCCCAGATACGCCTTTGACAAGTTCTTCCTCCTGGTGGGAGAGACAGTAAGATAAACACTGAGGCAATATGAATCATCAAGTAGGAGGTGAAATGGGACCACGTGATCACCCACCTGCAGGGCATATGGAGGGCATGGAGGACTGCCATAGGAAGGGACAACGGGATAAACCCCCACAGGGCCAGAAGGGGCAGCCCGCCTGAGGCAGGGGGTCTGGGTCCAGTGAGGGCAGGCCAGCGGGCTGGCTTGGGGCTGTACCGGGTCAGGGGTGTGGCCTCTTGCTGGACTTGCTGTGATTTCCTGGTGCTGCCGCTACTCAGCATGTGACATGGTCAGGTCGATTCTCTCCCGAGCCCACTTGGTGGGCTGAAAAGGGGTGGGTGTGGAGGGGATAGGAGAGGATGTCCACACTGGCTCCCTGGGCTCAAGTTTTCCTGGAGCACTGTTCCTGGAATCGGGAGAGGTTGGTGCCCTTTACCCCAGAGAGCAGCCAGTGGCCTTATGTAACCAGAGCCCCTGGGGCGGTGCCTGCCTCCTGGGGCCCATCTCAGCCCGAGGGCCGCCACCTCCCCCCTGCAATTCATAGCCCCTGGCAATTTCCTTTTCTTATACATTGATAATCCAACTTCCAAGCTTTCTTGGAGTTTTCAGCCTTCTGGGATGGGAGTGGGTTGTAGGCAAGGGGGCTTTCCAAACGGACACACTGTATTCCTTCTGGTTTGTGCAGAAACTCAGGCAGTAGGCAGGCCTGGAGGTGCCCCTGCCTCCATCCTATCTCCAGTAGGATCCTCTGCAGCCACCAGACCCTGCCAGCCCTGGGGCCGGAGGGACCCTGCGCCCCTCAAGACGCTCCTCTTTATTTTAGTGCCCCTCTCACCTGAGGAGGAACCGGGAGCGGCGCCGGGGCAGCTGAGCCCAGGAAGGCAAGCAGGCCAGCCGGGACCGCCAGGGGACGGCGAGTGCCTGGCGGAGCGGCAGGCACAGCCCAGGACTCCCGGCTCCCACCTCCGGCTGTAGGTGCGGGCCCCATTCCCTCCATGGCCCTGTCCCGGGCTCTGTGTGCTCAAGGCTTGGCCACCTGGGGCCGCCTGGCCGGGACAGGCCCAGGGGCCTGCCAGACGTTGCGTGTAGCGCCGCAGGAGCCATCTCGTTCTGCATCACCCCTTATCTTGGGCCCGTGGGGCGCGGGTGAGGGTCCAGTCACTCTCCCCCGTCGTGGGCTGTCCATCCCAGCACTCTGTGCTCAGCTCTCGAGGCCTGGGGGGAGCCAGGGAGAGGCAAGGGCAAAGGACCCCATTCCCGTTCAGGTGCATTTGTCCACGGAGGGAAACGTCATGGAGAGGAGGCACTTCTGTGGGTCAAGAAGGTGGCCTAGAACGGCACCCAGAGTAGGGGGTTGGGACAGACAGACCTGGTCATGGCCAAGGTCAGAACTGAGGCTGCTGGTGGGTTGCAGGTGGCAGCACATGCACTGAGTGTGGCCCGACCACGGGTCTGGGACACAAAGATCGGGGCCCCCACCCCACAGTCACTCGCTTCCCTCGGGGTGAAGGTGTAAGCTGAGCTGCCGACGGCTGGGGGCCTGCAGGAGAGAGGCCTGAGCCACCGGCTGCTGCAGGCAGCTGCTCTCTCTGGTTCAGGAAGTGCCTAGGCTGGCCGGGTCTGGGGACAGTGAGCTGGCCCGGGGCTGCTCCTGAGTTCTGCCAGGCAGCGCCGGGCCGGGGGCAGGCACCAACCACGTCTGTCTCCTCCCTTCCTGCAGTCCAGGGCCAAGGCTTGTGTTCAATCGTGTGAATGGCCGGCGGGCTCCCTCCACGTCCCCATCCCTCGAGGGGACCCAGGAGACCTACACACTGGCCCACGAGGAGAATGTCCGCTTTGTGTCCGAAGGTAGCGAGCGGGGCCGCAGGGTGTGGCCCAGGCTGCTGGGTCACAGTAACATGGACTCGGGATGGCCCCACTTCAAGGTGACCCCCAGCCGCTGCGGAGCTGTGCTTTACCTTGGCGCTCTGCCCTTGTGTCCTGTGACCAGCCCTGTGTGGGGCTGGAGTCCAGGGTGACCATCAGGCCCTGGGTGGGCGATGGGGTGCTTGGGACCTGGCTCAGCCCAACTGCCCTCCTCCCACAGCCTGGCAGCAGGTGCAGCAGCAGCTGGATGGTGGCCCAGCCGGTGAGGGCGGGCCGAGGCCTGTGCAGTACGTGGAGAGGACCCCCAATCCCCGGCTGCAGAGTGAGCCCCCCAACCCCATCCCCTGAGGAAAGACCCCCCCCCAACCCCTCTGATCCTGACCAGGGCTCTGCCAGGGTCCCACCCCAGGGGATGAGGGAGGGGACTCTTGTGCAGAAACCCCTTCTTCTCAGCACATTGTGGTTAGCTCCAGGGGGGAGATGCTGGCCGGTCTGGGAGGCAGCCTTACTGCCCAGCCTTCTCTGTCCACAGACTTCGTGCCCATTGACCTGGACGAGTGGTGGGCGCAGCAGTTCCTGGCTAGGATCACCAGCTGTTCCTAGCAGCTGCTGGGAGGAAATGCTGCTACGGCCAACCTGTCACCAGGAGAGGAACATGGCGTCCTGCCCGCCCACCCACTGCACCTGGCTGAGTGCCGGCCACACCTGAAGTGCCAGCATTGGGACTTTTGCACGTGTTGTCCCTTTGGCCTGGCTGTCCCAAGCTGCCATGGCCAGGGCCTGAACCTGTCTGACCTCAGCCCTGCTCACTGTGCCCAGGAACCAGCGACCAGCCCCTGGGGCTGGCAGGGAGGAGCTCCAGGCTAATAAAGTGGGGAAACTGCCTGTTTCCAGTGGCTTTGACATCAGAGGGTGTGGGGGATCCTTGTGTCCAGTTCCAGTCCACAGCCCAGTGCAAATTCCCCTTGTAGCCCTATCTCCTGGGGCCCTTGGCTTCTCACCCAGCTGCCTGCTGACAGGTGGGATGAGCATTCGCTGGCTCCCCTTGCGTGGAGGTCTGTGGACCTCGCTTTGCTCCTCCTTCCTCTCCTGTTGGCGTTGTATGGAACCAGAGCCCACCCTCAAGGCCTAAGGACATTAAATGGTGTTGGAGTGCAGTCCTGACCACCCTGCCCCCACCAGGACTGGGGCTGTCTCAGAACGCCAGGTCCCATTCTGAACCCACCGGGCTCGGCCGCAGCACACTGGGCCTTCTGCGGGCGCCAGCACTGCCTTCCCTGTTGGGCAGGGGTGACGCAGCCCACCTGAGTCAGGACCCAGGGTATCCAGGTGTGGACCAGGGGCCTCGGACGGCGAGAGAGAGGCAGGGGAGCCCCGGCGCAAGCGCGGACAGGTGGGGCGGGGAGGGCCCACAACCCGCGCGCTCGGAGGCCGGTCGGGCTAACACGGGGCTGCCTCGGGGGACCCGCGGGGCAAAGGCAGCGGGGACAGGGGCCGGAGAGACGCGCGGGCCGCTCCGACGGGGCAGTCACGTGGCCAGGGCGCCGCCATGACGGCGGAAGTGATGGTGGAAGCGGAGCCGTTGCCAGGCGCCGTGCTGCGTGCCCTACGCGGGGCGCGCGGAGGCTGAGGCGGGAACTTCGAGCGGCGGCGCCATGGCCCGAGGTAGCGCGCGGCGAGCGGGGGTCCTGGGTTGCGGGTTCCAGGGGCGGCGGCCGGAGTCCCCGCTCGGGCAGGGTCCTGGAGCTTGGCTTCCCTTGCGCCCCAGCGGCTCCTGCCTGGTCCGCTGACGCCCGCCGCCCGCCCCGCAGCGTGGCAGCACCCGTTCCTCAACGTCTTCAGATACTTCCGGGTGGACGAGTGGAAGCGCTCAGCCAAGGAGGGGGACGTCGCCGTGGTGACGGTAGGCGGCCGGGCTCAGGGGGCTCGCCCGCGGCGCACGCCCTGCCCTGCTCCCGGGAGAGGGCCCCTCGCCGGGGCCGCGCGTCTCCCGGGTGCCGTCGGTGACCCCGAGGGCCCGTCGCCGGGGCCGCGCGTCTCCCGGGTGCCGTCGGTGACGCAGGCTCCCGCCTCTCCAGGACAAGACCCTGAAGGGCGCGGTGTATCGCATTCGGGGCTCAGTCTCTGCTGCCAACTATATCCAGCTCCCCAAGACCAGCAGCCAGTCCCTGGGGCTGACTGGGCGCTACCTGTATGTGCTCTTCCGGCCCCTGTCCAGCAGGCCCTTTGTCATCCACTTGGACGTGTCCACCGAGGTACAGAGCCCACGGTTGGGGGCTTCGTGGGGGCCCGGCACCGCCGCTGCCCTGTCTTCTCACCGCCCTTATCTGGCCCCCGCAGGACGGCCAGGTCATTCGCGTGTCTTTCTCCAACCTCTTCAAGGAGTTTAAGTCCACAGCCACATGGCTTCAGTTTCCCTTCATCCTGGAGGCCAGGACACTCCAGAGAGGTGACACCGAGATGGGGCGTGGATGGTCCAGGAGGGAGCTGGTGCAGGCCGTGGGGCTCCTCTGCGGCTTGGGGATCAACCTGGGGAGGCACAGGCTCAACGTCTCTGGGAGTCGGCGGCGGTCAGGAGAGGGGGTGCTGACCCCGAGTGCCCATCCTGCAGACCGGGTGGGTTTGGCCGCTGCTGGACCCCGCTGGACCTGCCTGCAGCTGGACTTGCAGGACATCCTCCTGGTCTACCTGAACCGGCGCTACAGCCACCTGAAGAGCGTCAGGCTGTGCGCCAGCCTGCTGGTCAGGAACCTTTACACCAGCGACCTGTGTTTCGAGCCTGGTGAGCGCTGCCCTTGGCTCCCTCTGTCTCACCTGGGGTCTCAGCCTCGGAGGGGTCCGAGTCAAGGAGGAAAGTGCAGGGCTCAGGCTGTGCTGTCTCATCTCTGGCCAGAACCGCAGCCCTGGGGTGGGCTGGTGGCATGGCACTGCCTGGGTGGGTGCCCGGGGTTCAGGGGGCCAAAGGGCTTTTCTTGACCTGGGACAACCCTGCTCTTCATAGCCGTCACGGGGCCCCAGGGGGCAAAGCTGCCCCTCACTCCTATGCCTCGGGAAATGGCGTTCCCTGTGCCCAAGGGAGAGAGTTGGCATGACCGATATATCCACGTGCGGTGAGTGGTCCTGCTTCTCTCGAGGGAGGTCTTGGTGGTGGGAGGTAGGTGGCCCCGGGGCCCCCAGACACTGACCCTCCCTCTGCCAAGGTTTCCGAGTGACCGTTTGAAAGTGCCTTCGGAGCTGATTCAGAAGAGCCGTTCCCCTCCTGAGGCAGGTGGGCCTGCGGGGTCAGCCGGGACCCAGGTTAAGGCCTGCAGGGCGCATGGAGCTTGGTAGGAGAGGGGCGGGCTGGGAAAGGACCCAGTGGTGTGAGCGGTGTGGTGGCTGCAGCTGCTGCATGCCCAGAGCTGCCCAGGGGCTGGTGCAGGGACCCAGGGAAGCCTGTGGGTTATCTGAGCTCCCAGAACCACATGGGTGGGAGGTCTGTGTGAGGGGTACCTGGAGGCCCCAAGCTTTCCAGCTGGAAGAGGAGGGTTTCAGGTTCTGGGGTGGAAGTGGGGTTGCCAGCTGCGTGTCCTACAGAGCCGGCGAGGCTGGGTCACTTGCTGCCCCTTCCTGGGTATCACCCTCACCAGGCATCTGCACAGCCGGCCCCTGGGTCACTGAGGTTCTTGTCTGTGTTGCAGTCCTCCTGGGGCCTGGGCCCCAGCCCCTCCCTTGCCTGGTGGCTTCTAGCAAAGCTGTGTGGGACAGTGTGTCTCCAGTGGTCCAGATGCCCAGCCCCACAGCCGTGAGTACCCCCTTTGCCCCCGAGATGGGGCTGGGTCGTGATGGCCCAAAGCACTGATGGGGACTTTTTCCCCAACAGTTCGGCCAGGCCCCCTCGGCACCCAGGCCCTTCCGGGAGGTCAGTCTGTCCCGAGAGCACCCAGAGGCCTCTAGTGCGGAGGGTCCCAGTGTACAGGCACCCAAGCCCTTCCTGAAGGTCAGCCTATCCCGAGGGTGCTCAGAGGCATTCAACACAGATGGGCCCCTTGAGCCCTGGGCCCAGGTGGAGGCCTCTGATGTCCACACAGCTGCTGCCGGCACCCACGTGCTGACTCACGAATCGGCTGAGATGGAAGAGTCGGTTCAGGTGCCTGTGGCCCTTGAGGATGCTGGCTCCTGCAAGGTGAGTGCCCATCCCACAGCAGCCAGGGCCGGGTGAGGCGTGGGCCGGGGCAGCTGGCAGCCCAGGTGAGGACGGAGGTGCCTCTGGTCGTCTCTTGTTTAGCCTCCCGACAGGGAGCAGAGCTGGCGGGAGGTAGCTTTGAGGAAGGATCTCTGTCCACACAGTAAGAAAGGGCTTCTGCCTGCCCCCAATGCCCCAGCTCCAGGTGGTCTGTGGGGAACCCTTGAAGGTCTGGCACTGCAGCCCGAATCCCAGCTTCCACCCTAGCACAGCCGGCAGGAGCCACTCAGGACCAGGGCAGTCTTCTTGAGAGGCAGGCCCTTGAGAGCTGGAGATTGGCAGGGCCCGGGGTTGGTCAGGGGTGTCCTGGGGACCTGGCTGAGTCTCCCAGAGCCTCTATGGGAATACCTGTTTCAGCCCTTCCTCCCGGACCCGGTCCTGAGGCTCAAGGGTGTCATCGGCTTTGGGGGCCACAGCACCAGACAGGTGAGGGTCCTGTGGCTGGGTCCAGAGCAGCTTTCAGTGGCTGGGTAGAGTGCCAAGTATGGGAGGGGACAGAAGAGACACCTATGTCCTGTGGTGGCTGTGCAGGGTCCCAAGCCCCCTCGGCACAGGGGTTCCATCCCCCATCCGCCTGCAGATGCCTGCCCTGCCCATAGCTGCTGTCACCTCCTGGTGTCTGAGGGCTATCGGGGTATCTCTTACTCACCAGCTGAGCTAGGTGCTTCCTGCAAAGGCCCAGAGCTCTCCTGTCTTTAGAACTCTGATCCAGACTAACAGTGTGGAGCCGGGCTGTGGGTGCAGCCTGTGGGTCCCTGATGGGTGCGGTGGGCCTTCTAGGGGAGGAGCCCCATGGCAGAGGTGGGCTTCCCCTCTGCCCCCGTGGCCCTGGGCCCTTGTCAGGCCCTGCTGGGTGCCCGCTCTGAGTCTTTGGGGGCCTTTTGGCCTTTTGCTACCTCCACCCCAGAGTTCCTTGCGCTGGAGGCAGGGCTTACAGCACATGGCATGTGCGTATGCACCTATAGTGCCTGCTTGCGCATTACAGCCGTTCTTTTGACACGTGCATCTTGTGACCTGTGCGTATGTAGTGTGTGCAGGGGGTGTGTGCTCTCCTGCCTCCAGGGGCTGTGTGCCCAGGTGCATATGCCAGGCCTGCCACCTCCCCTCCCTGGGCTGTGGGAGGTGAGGCTGACCTCCCCGCAGCCAGGAGGGGCCTGGTGTACCACCGGTGGCCGCAGCCCCCCGCCCCCTCGTGCCAGGCTGTGTGGACTGCGGATGGGACGGCTGTCGTGTACCCCTGCCACTCTGTCATCATTGTCCTGCGTGTGGACACCAGGGAGCAGCGCTTCTTCCTCGGCCACACAGACAAGGTGAGTGCTGCCCGGGGCAGCTTGAACCCGGAGGCCGCCGCACCGTCCCTCACGCTTCTGCCTCCTAGGTCTCCGCCCTGGCACTGGATGGTGGCAACTCACTCTTGGCCTCAGCTCAGGCCGGGGCCCCCAGCGTGATGCGGCTCTGGGACTTCCAGACTGGGGTTTGCCTATCCCTGTTCCGGAGTCCAATGCACGCCGTCTGCTCCCTCAGGTGGGCACAGGTCTGCCCCATGCAGGGGGTGGGGGTCAGCCCAGGCGACACTGACTTCCTCCTCCCTCTTCACAGCTTTGCTGACAGTGGGGCCCTTCTCTGCGGGGTTGGCAAGGACCGGCACGGGAGGACGGTAACAGGGCCCTGGCCTGGGGCTGGGCGGGACTGTTCTGATGTGCGCAGGCGGCGGGGAGGGTCTTGGTTTTGGGACACTCCACCGTGGTGTGACCCTGGCTCCCAGCTCTGTCTCCTCCCTGTGATGGGGCTCCATGTGCTTTGGTGCTCACAGTTTAAGCCAGCATTTACTTACCTTACCTCGTTCTCTCTGCTGATAATGCGGGTGTGAGATTTTCACGTGGGAGAACCCTGGAAGCTCACCCACACTTGAGTCCCAGTGTCACCTCCGCACAGCTGAAACGCCGAGCATCTCTGTGGGGACACCTTTAAAAATTTTTTTTGAGATAGGACCTTGTTCTGTCACCAAGGCGGGAATGCAGTGGTGCAATCATAGCTCACGGCAGCTTTGACCCTTCTCTGACCCCCCAGCCAGCTGGACTCAAGCCATCCTCCTGCCTCAGCTTCCCAGATAGGTGGGCCACCACAACTGGCTAACATTTTCTTTCTTTTCTCTTTTTTTGTTTTTAATTTTTTTTTTTTCTTTTTCCGATGGGGTTTCACCATGTTGGTTAGGCTGGTCTTGAACTCCTGACCTCAGGTGATCCGCCCGCCTTGGCCTCCAAAGTGCTTGGATTACAGGTGTGAGCCACCGCGCCCGGCCGACATTTTCTTTTTTTTAACATTTTGTAGAGACAGAGTTTTGTTACATTGCCAAGGCTGGTCTCAAATCCCGGGGCTCAAGCAATCCTCCCGCCTTAGCCTTCCAAAGTGCTGGGATCACAAGGCGTGAGCCGCCACCCCTGGGCACGAGCTGCCTTCAGTCACCTTCCCACCTGTGGGCAGGTTTTCACTTTTCTGCAGATGGGGTGCCGTGCCCAGCGTTGCTGGTCTCTGTACAGGTCCCAAAGCTGCCACATCTCAGGGCGAGCACATGGAGGGGACGGTCCTTTTGCCTTCTACAGCCACAGGCTCAGAGGCTAGTCTCTGCCTGAGAGGAAAGCCCCCTCCAGGTGAAGCTCAGCTGCACCTCGCAGAATCCAGGCGGCACTGATGGGCCTGCCGTGTGGGCTCAGCCTGGGCTTGTTGCAGATGGTGGTGGCCTGGGGTACTGGCCAGGTGGGCCTTGGCGGCGAGGCGGCCGTTCTGGCGAAGGCACACACTGACTTCGACATCCAGGCCTTCCGGGTCGCCCGTTTTGATGAAACCAGGTGACGCAGCCTCCCATCCACCGTGCGGGGGGAGAGTCTGGGCCTGGAGCAGGGGCTGAACCCCAAGTACCTCCTCCGGGCTGGGGCCCTCATTCACAGTCTTGGTTACACGTGGCACCTCCTTGTGGGTCAGGTTCTCAGCTGCAGCAGTGCCCAGTCCTTGTTCCTTGCAGGATGGCATCATGTGGGCAGGGCAGCGTGCTGCTCTGGCGGCTGCGTGGCAGGGTGCTACGCTCCTGCCCCGTGGACCTGGGGGAGAACCACGTGCTACACTTCACCGACCTCGCCTTCAAGCAGGCCCAGGACAGCTGGAGACCAGACGGCCGCCAGGAGACCTCGGCTGCCATGCTGTGAGCCGCCGCCCCTCCCCACGGCCTGCCCCAGTGTGGGGCTCCTGGTTCCCGGTGCCCTGAGGGCTACTCACCTCCCCTGCTGCCTCCTTGGGCAGCTTTGTGTGCAGCCACAGCGGCCACGTCTTGGAGATCGATTGTCAGCGCGTGGTTGTGAAGCATGCCCGCCGCCTGCTCCCTACACGGACTCCGGGTGGCCCCAGGCCACAGAAGCAGACCTTCAGCTCAGGTAGGAGGGTGCTCACCACATGGCGAAGGTGGCGGGGACACCGAGGCACTGATGCCCCCACCCCCCGCCCCCAGGCCCTGGCATCGCCATCAGCAGCCTCAGCGTCTCCCCGGCCGTGTGCGCTGTGGGCTCTGAGGATGGCTACCTGCGGCTCTGGCCCCTGGACTTCTCCTCGGTGCTCCTGGAGGCAGGTGAGGTGTGCACTCGCACTCCAGCTCCAGGACAGCCTCTCTTGGATGCTGGGGCAGGGAGGGCCAAGTCCCCGGGGCTCTGCTGTCAGCCGCCCTGGCTCCTGTCTGCACAGGGAGCCATGGGGCCAAGCGGCCATGTCCTGAGGCCTGGGGCTGCTGATGACCGGGCAGCACGCAGGGCAGCCTCACGGAGGGGTCCAGTGGCCCATGGGTAGTGGCAAGGCTTCTCAGCCTGGGTCCTGCCTAGCCCGGGAGTGGTGGTCTCAAGGGAGCTGCATCTTCCAGCCATGCTGAGCCTGGGACTTTGAGAAGCAGGAAGTGCATTTGCCTGGCCCTTGGGGACCCAAACCCTGAGCAGTGACCGCCCAGGGTCAGCTCTGGCATGGGGCTTCCCCTCCCCCCAGGTGGGCCTGGGAAGTCCCTGACCCTGCCCCACCCACAGAGCACGAGGGCCCCGTCAGCTCAGTCTGTGTCAGCCCTGACGGCCTCCGTGTGCTGTCCACCACCTCCTCGGGCCACCTGGGCTTCCTGGACACCCCGGCCCGGGTGTACCGCGTGCTGGCTCGCTCCCACACCGCCCCAGTGCTGGCCCTCGCCACGGAGCAGAGGCGGGGGCAGCTGGCCACTGTGTCCCAGGACCGTACCGTTCGCATCTGGGATCTGGCCACCTTGCAGCAGGTGGGGTTTGGCAGGGAGGGCCAGGAGGGCCTCAAGCTGGGGTTTGTCAGCAGGGGTGGAAGAGGGGCTACAGGACCTGGTTTTTCCAGCCTGTGTCGGCCCCGTGGGTGTGGGCCCTTGTGATCCCTGCCATCCCCTCAGCACGGTTCCCGCCCCACAGCTGTATGACTTCACATCATCAGAGGAGGCCCCGTGTGCCGTCACCTTCCACCCCACAAGGCCAACCTTATTCTGCGGCTTCAGCAGTGGGGCCGTGCGCTCCTTCAGCCTGGAGGCCGCCGAGGTCCTGGTGGAACACAAGTAAGGGCCCAGCCAGCCATGTCGTCCCCTTGGGAGCCTGGGCCCCACAGTAGGTGCTGGGGTGTTTAGGGGGGATCCCCTACTTGGGGGGTCTGGCCAGGCTGGGGAGGGCCATGTGTAGGTCGGCCAGCACTGGCCAGAGCCCCACCCTTGGTTGCCTCTCTGAGACTTCTGTGGCTGGGCCGGTTGGCTGGAGGTCAAGGGACCCTGTGATTCTTTGGGCGTCTGTACCCTCGCTGGGCTTTGGGGCTGGAGCCAGCAGGGTCCCCATGTGTGCTGCAGGTGCCACCGAGGAGCCGTCACCGGTCTGATTGCCACCCCTGATGGCCGCCTGCTGTTCAGCGCCTGCCGCCAGGGCTCCCTGGCCCAGTACAGCTGTGCAGACCCCCAGTGCCGCCTCCTCCGAGTGGCAGGTCAGCCCCGCCAGCTGCTCCGGGGGACCCTCGGGAGGAGAGGTCTGGGTTTGGTGCAGGCCAACACCTGGATGCACATGCCGGTTTCCTGGTCCACTGGCTGTGTCCTGTGGGGCAGTGTGGTCCGCCTCAGTAACCTTGCCAGGGCCCAGGGGAGACGGTGGTTTAGCCTTTGCCGGCCCCCAAGGCCAGAGGTCAGCCCGGGTCTGTGCCCAGGAGGAGGCAGGGAACCCGAGCTCCAAGTCAGCAGCTGGGGTCAGACTCAGCCCTGGGGACCTGGCCTGTCCTGTGGCCACCATGACTTGGGCCACCTGAATGGTCACTTGTGGCCACTGTTGGCCCACGGGGACTCCCAGTTCCCTCGGCAGTGGCTGGCGCTCACTGGCACCTTGGCGCTCCTCTGCCTGTTGGATGCACCTGTGCTCCTGGGCTGGTGTTTCCCAAAGGTTGGGGCAGGAGCAGCGGCCTTCCCGGGGGCCATGCACATCCCAGAGCTCCCTCCCTGCCCAACTGACCCCTGCCCCGTGTGTCCACAGCGGATGTGGTGTGCCCAGATGCCCCCGCAAGGCCCAGTGCTCTGGCCATCAGTGGGGATGGAAGCCTGCTGGCCTTTGTGGGCCCCTCCAGGCACACGGTGACGGTCATGGGCTCGGCCTCCCTGGATGAGGTGAGTCTGCGGTCCTCCTGGGTCCAGGGAGACTGGGCAGTGAGAGGCTGGCCGCAGGGCAGGAGGGAGGTCCCAGCCACTCAGGAGTAGAACCTAGGCCCTGCCCCACCTCCTGCTGCAGAGTACGCGTCAGCCACGCAGGGCCCAGGTGAGGCCAAGACCTTGGACTCACTGGGTGAGTGTCCCTGGGGCCTCTCTCCTGAGCCTGGCCCTGGGTGACACTGGTTCTGACTGGAAGCCCTGACTGTCGGCCACTTGCCGCTCCCCTCAGCTGCTGCGCGTTGGCGTCAGCGCTCTGGACCCGGCCAGTGGGCGTCTGGACTCAGCTGTGGCCGTGTGCTTTGGCCCCACGGCCCTGGGCCACCTGCTGGTGTCTACCTCATCCAACAGAGTTGTGGTGCTGGATGCTGCGTCGGGCCACGTGGTCCGGGAGGTGAGCCTTGGGGCTGCGCCTGCCCACCTGGCCCTCCCTGTGCTGTCCCAGCCTGACCTCTGTGCCTGCAGCCCCTCCCGCTGGGTGGGGGGCTGTCACCACACTCCAAACGAGGGGAGGCCCCAGGCTGCCGGCCACTCTCCTGAGACATGGCATTTCCCAAGAGCACTGTGTTCCAGCTACCCGGTGTCCACCCTGGGCCCTGTCCCTCCCTGGCACTCAGTGAGGACGCCCGCTTCCTGCTGATGGCCGCCGGCCGGGCTGTGAAGGTGTGGGACTATGGGACGAAGGCCAGCCCAGGCCCCCAGGTGTGTGTGTGGGCGGGCAGGCAGCCTTGGCCATCAGGAGCCTGCTCAGGTGGCAGGCGGGGGCAGTGTTGTCCTGGGGGCAGGGAGAGCAGAGGTGAGAGGAGAATGACCCCCCAGGGCCCCCTGTGCCTCCCTGTGGGGGACTAACACCATGTGGGGCCTCTTGCTCACCGCCCCCCCCGGGGGCTGGGCACACGGCAGCATCCATGCCGTGTCTCTGGGTCCCAGCATGTGATGTCACTTCCCCCAGGTGTACATCGGCCACTCAGAGCCTGTGCAGGCTGTGACCTTCTCCCCTGACCAGCAGCAGGTCCTCAGCGCAGGGGATGCCATCTTCTTCTGGGACATCCTGGCCACCACTGAGAAGTAAGTGTCTACCCACAGCTGTGTCTGCCTAGGCCCCCCAGGCCCTCCTGAAACCCTCTCTCCTCCCTCTCCAGCGAGCAGAGCTTCCCTGGGATTCCCCCAGCCTGTGAGGCAGGTGAGTGGCTGTGGTCAGCTTGGAGGCAGGCGCTGCCCTGGCTCTGGGGCCGGTCCTGTGTCCACCCAGTGGCCCTTCCTCTTCCTCTCCAAACATTACAGGGCTCCTTCTTCCCCAGGCCCGGGCACAGGACAGTTGGAGGACGCTGAGTCTGGGGCCAGCGGGCTCCCCGAGCAGCGGGTCCCCAAGCCATCTCCAGCATCTCCACCACGGCTGGGCATTTGTGCCAGGCCTCCCAAAGGTGGGGATGGTGAGCAGCAGGGGTCCTGTGGGAGTGGGGGGATCCGGGAGGTCTCAGAGGGCAGCAGGTGCTCACTTGTGTCCAACTCTGGGGCGCAGGTGCCATCACTGCTCGCTGGGTGGGGTACAGTGGGGCAGGGGCGGAGGGTGTGGGCAGCTTTTCCCCTCCTCGTTGCTCCTAGGCACTTTCTCCACGTCGGATGAGGAAGGACCTTGTGAGGAGAGCCGTAGCCCCAAGAGGCTTGGCCAGGCCCCAGGCCCGCCTGAGCTCACGGAGGAGGAGGCTGGCAGGGATGGAGTTGGGGCCTGGGCTGCAGCAGCGGCCTCGTGGGAACTTGCGGCACCTCCCTGTCCCCCCAGCCAACCCCGTGAGCAGTGGAGGGCAGGGGCCTGAGGGCGGCTGGGCAGTCCCCTGGATGATGAGGCAGGGTCACTTGCAGGTGGGACACAGCTTGCCTGTGCCCGTGGCCCCAGCCTCTGCCCCGTCATGTTTCTCACTGAGCGGCAGGGGAGAGGCCTGTGGGGAGGCTCGGCGTGTTGTGGGGTCTCTGAAGGGCTGTAGGGCGGTACGATGCCACAGGCTTTGCCTCCTCCCTGCCAGGCACCAGGGACACCAGGAATTTGGGGACCCCACACACCACCTGCCTGGCTTCCCACAAGGCCTTCGTGCTCGCCAAGGTCAGCTGCAGCCCCAACTCTGCCAAGGTGGGGAGTGGTTTTGGGGAGCCCTCTTTCTTCCCAGTGAGCACAGAGGCCCCCCGAGGGCTCCCTGGCGATTACTCAGGGTTGCTTTCGGTCTCCAAAGCAAACTCGAGTAGTGACTCTGGAGTAATTACTGGCTCTGCAGCTATTACTCAGGCGGACAACCTGAGTAGTGGCTCCGGCCCTTGGGAGCCTGTCTCCTGGAGGCACCCCTAGCCTACACCCCCGACCCTGTCCTCCAGATGCGACCTTGTGGTAGCCTCCTGCTGACCCGCCTCCCTCTCTCACCCAGCAGCTGCCCTTCCTGAGAACCCCACAGGCTGGTGCCTCTCCTGGCCCTGGCACATGGCATGCCCACAGCTCCCACCCCTCCCACCCCAGCTTCCCCATCAGTGCCCCAGCTGCCCTCTGCAGCTGGCCTGAGTGTGCCCCAAAACAGCCTCCTGTGTGCGGGCTTTGGGACCCAGCAGCATCCAGGTCTCCTTCCTCGCAGGGCACCTCCTTGCCTACCCCCAGCAGCCAACGGTGGCGGCTGCGTCTGAAGGCTGTCGTTGGCTACAGCGGGAACGGGCGGGCCAACATGGTCTGGAAGCCGGACACAGGTGAGGGGCGAGAGTCTGCCCCCACCCCCAGCCAAGACGTGTTGTGTGTAGTCCAGCTGTCCACCCGAAGGCCAGGCCCCAGGGGCAGATGAGCGCCAGCCATCAGTGTGGAGCTCTGTTCTTCTGGTAGTGCCTTGTGACGCTTCACCCCATGTCCTGTCCTGTGAAGCACTTTGGTTGCCAGACGGTGGGGAGGGTGCCCCTGGGCCTGGGACCAGGCTAACCGCTTGGCCCCACCCTCCCTGCGAGACCCCATTCCCGGGCCCCGCCCTTCCGTCTAGACTCCTCCCCTAGGTCACGCTCTCTCTGCTCACAGGCTTCTTTGCTTACACATGTGGCCGCCTGGTGGTGGTGGAAGACCTGCACTCTGGTGCCCAGCAGCTTTGGCCTGGCCACCCTGCGGAGATCTCCACGCTGGCCCTCAGCCACAGTGCCCAGGTGCCCGCCTGCATCGCCCTCCTCGCCTGGGACCACTGTGCCCAGCAGAACCCGGCTCCCAGATCAGAGCAGGCTCTTGCCACCAGAGATGGCGCAGATGGCCGCAGCCTCCCGCTCACCGCCTGCCCTCTTTCCTGCCAGGTCCTGGCTTCTGCCTCAGGCGGCAGCAGCACAGCTGCCCATTGCCAGATCCGCATTTGGGATGTGTCTGGTGGCCTCTGCCAGCATCTCATTTCCCACCACAGCACCTCTGTGCTGGCCCTGGCCTTCTCACCAGATGACAGGCTTCTCGTCACGTTGGGTCAGTGGGAGGAAGGGCGGCGGCCAGGGGCTTTCCTGGACCCCGTGAGGGTTGGACCTATGCATCTGACGTGGCTGCTGTGCATGCTTCCTAGGAGGCCACGTCGACCGCACCCTCACCTTGTGGAGCGTGGCCACCTGTGACCTCGTGTCCTCCACCCGCCTCCCGGAGCCAGTGTATGGCGTGGCCTTCAACCCCTGGGGTGCCGGCGAGCTTACCTGTGTGGGTCAGAGCGCTGTCACCTTCTGGCTCCTGCAGCAGCATGGGGCAGACGTCAGCCTTCAGGTGCTAGGCCACCCGCTTGGTCTGCCGGCCCAGGGGCTGTTGCGTGGAGTGGAATCTGGCTGGGCCCGGGGACATCGCTGACCTGTGACCCCTCACCCTGCCAGGTGCACCGAGAGCCGGTCCCAGAGGCAGTCGGGGCTGGAGAGCTGACTTCTCTTTGCTATGGGGCACCCCCCCTGCTCTACTGTGGCACCAGCTCCGGCCAGGTCTGTGTCTGGGACACGAGTGCCAGCCGCTGCTTCCTGGCCTGGGAGGCGGATAACAGTGGCATTGGTAGGTGCCCTGTAAAAGCCCTGTGGCCCCTCAGGACCCCTACCTGGAGTTCTCAGAGCTGGGGCAGGGGCCTGATCTCCAGCCTTGGCCTCCAGGCAGCCTGTTACCCGAGGCCTCTGGGAAGGCCGCTCATGGCCCCTCGTGGCCTCTCGCCTCCAGGGCTGTTGCTGTTCTCCGGCTTCCGATTGGTCAGTGGCAGCAACACGGGGCGGCTGTGCCTGTGGGCCGTGGGGGCCGTGTCGGAGCTGAGGCGCAAGGGCTCAGGTGCCAGGTGAGCTGTTCCCCGCAGGTGAGCGTTGGTGTCCCCGACCCAGCTTGCAGCCAGTCCCCCTCCCAGGCCGCCCTGCAGATCAGCCCCCCACTAGCCCCTTTGAGGGACAGGCTTGGGTGTGTCCTGGGCCTTACTGGCTGCCATTGAGGATGGGCGGCCTCAGAAGCCCCCGCTCCATGGGCTTCCTCTTCCTCCACCTGGGTGGGCATAGGTCCTGAGACGCGATGCTGAGGGCCCTGCCTTAGCTGGGGACCCAGCTGGCTCCTGCCATCAGCCTTGAGACCCGCTGTCCCCTCCTCGTTCCCTGCACCTGCAGGTCCAGTTCTGTGCTCATGGAACGCGAGCTGGTGCTGGACGGGGCTGTGGTGAGCGCCAGCTTTGATGACGGTGTGGACATGGGCATTGTGGGCACCACTGCGGGCACGCTCTGGTTTGTCAGCTGGGCCGAGGGCACCAGCACACGTCTCATCAGTGGCCACAGGAGCAAGGTGAGGGGCTTGAGCCTGGACAGAGGCAGGGCAGCCGAACCTGGCGCCCTTACTGCCTGCCAGCTGCATCTCTGCCAGCCGGGATGATGTTACTCCAAGTCCTGCTGCCTCTGGCTCACAGCGTTCGCCTTGGGGTTCCTGGGTGGCAGGTCTTGGGTGTGCACATCCCTCAAAGCCAGCCCAGTCGTGGCTGCACCAGGGAGCCGCCTGGCAGGCCTCGCAGGTCTTGAATCTTCCTTTCACCGATACTGCTTTCTGTGGTTTTTGGTTTTTTGTGTTTTTTTTTTTGTAATTATCAAAGAAACCGTTTCAGTCTGGGTGCAGTGGCTCAGGCCTGTAATCCCAGTATTTTGGGAGGCCGAGGAGGCGGATGGATCACCTGAGGTCAGGAGTTCAAGACCAGCCTGGCCAACATGGTGAAACCCCGTCTCTGCTGAAAAGACAAATATTAGCCAGGTGTGGTGGTGCCTGCCTGTAATCCCAGCTACTTGGGAGGTGCCAGGAGAATCGCTTGAACCCAGGAGGCAGAGTTTGCCTTGAGTCAGGATCACACCATGGCACTCCAGCCTGGATAACAGAGCGAGACTCCATCTCAAAGGAAAAAGATTTTAAAAGCCCACATCGTCTGTCCCAGCACCTCTCAGAGACCGGCTTTGCTGACGTGGATTGTTCCCTGACCCAGGCAGCTCCCGGGTTCAGTTCTGCTCTGGTCTGGGTCAGGTTGTGGTCAGTGCTGGTTCTGCTCCTGTAAGGCCCAGCTCTGGCCCGCAGCCTCCTGGTGCTGGAGCTCTCTCCAACAAGCACACAGCACTGACCTCTCTGGGACCTCCTGGCCTGGAAGCTGCATGGCCTCATGGGATTGGGGCAGCCACCGTGCCACCCCCTCACCCCCGCTCTGCAGCCTTAGGGGAAGTGGCCTCCCGGGCTGAACTGGGGCAGCAGGACACGTGCCCGCCCTTCCCTTCCTGGACCAGGCTTCTGGCATGGCGTTCGTCCAGCAGCTGTGGCCATGGGCGTTGTCCTGCGAGTCTGAGTTCTGGGTGTGGTCGGCCAGGCCCACGGGGTTGGGGGTTCCTTGATGCCGAGTGCCACCTTCCAGTTGCCCCTCGCTTCTCTGTTTAGAAACCTGTACTTCGTATTTGAAGATGACGGTAGCCAGCAAAGAAAGTTGAGTTTGAGGCGGGTGAGGGTCCTTTACCTTTCTGGCGGCAGGTTACTCGGGGTCTGGCTGGCATAGCATGAGCTCTGTCCACCGTGGTCGGTGGGTTTCGGCGTGGTCAGCAGCTGCGCCGCAGTCCCCACCGCTGGCTCAGGGCATGTCATCACCCCAGGAGGAAACCCTCTGTGTGTCTGTTTCCCGCCACCCCAGCCCCTGGCAATCACTGAGTGGCTTTCTGTGTCTGGATTTGCCCATTCTGGGTGTTCTGTAGCAGCTGGCTTGTCTGGATTCTCTCTGCAAGCGTGGTTTCCAGGATCATCCCGGCCACTGCTTGGCCGAGCCAGTTATTCCTCTTTGTGGCCAAATACTGTTGCGTTGTGTGGGTAGACCACAGGTGTGTCCCCCAACCAGGGCCGGGAAATTCGGGTCCAGAGTCCATGGCCTGAGCCCGTGGTCACTGGACTCCCTGTGACCGAGTCTGGGGCCTGAGCCCGTGGTCACTGGTCTCCCTGTGACCGAGTCTGGGGCCTGAGCCCGTGGTCACTGGTCTCCCTGTGACCGAGTCTGTGACCTGAGCCCGTGGTCACTGGTCTCCCTGTGACCGAGTCTGTGACCTGAGCCCGTGGTCACTTGGTGGCCTCCCTGTGATGTGGAAGTGCAAGGCATTCCAGACTCCGCCTGTGGGGTTCTACCCAGGCCTGGACTTTGCTGTCTCACAGGGCCCAGGGCTCCTCCCAGGGAAACAGCCTGCAAGGACCCCCTCCGAGCCGTGCGGGCCCTAACTGCTGGGCTGAACTGAGCTGATTTTATAGTGAAGTGTATCGTGTTCCCATTTGCACTTAGCGTTCACGTTCAGTGCCAGGCTGTGTCACTTCCTCTCACTGGTGCGTGGCACCTGTGTCCCCTTTCTGCCACTCCAGCAGTCCTAGCTCTCAGTGGCGTCTGCCTTTTCCCCCGATTCAGGAGAAAGGGCAGTAAACTTGGGAGGAGGAACGCGACCGAATGCATGGTGTCCTGGCTGCAGCCAGCGGCATCTGTGCCTCCAACCGCGGCCTGCAGCCTGCTAGAGATAGGTGACCACGTGGCAGTGTTTGAAGTTCCACAGAACAGCTTTCTCCTCGGTGTCCTGCTGACTTTGGCTGGCTAGTGGCCTTACTTTGGTTTGGACTGCCCCAGGTCCAGCACAGGGACACCCATGGGAGGCCAGCTCTGCTTTTCACTGTGTGGAGTGGGCCGGGACCAGAGGCAGATGCTCTGGTTTGGACAGCCTGGCCCTGGGAGCTGGAATAGGAAATGCCTGTGTCCCTTTCGCCTGCCCAGGGGCCAGAGGGCTCAGGGAGGGTGGCCAACACCTCCAGCCTAGCCATGGTTTCCCCAGGTGAACGAGGTGGTCTTCAGCCCCGGGGAGTCGCACTGCGCCACGTGCAGTGAGGATGGGAGTGTGCGGGTGTGGTCCTTGGCCAGCATGGAGCTGGTGATCCAGTTCCAGGTGCTGAACCAGGTGGGTGGGGAGCGCCCAGGCCAGGGGCAGGGGCCTGGTGTGGGCGGGGTAGCTGCCTCCTCCCTGTGGCCTGGGAGTGTGTCCCCAGGATTCCTGTGAGTGCTGAAATTTCCTACCGTGGGTCCCCAGAGTTGCCTCTGCCTCGCATGGAGCCCCCCGTGCTGTGGCCGCCCCAAACAGCAGCGGCTAGCGGCGGGCTATGGTGACGGCTCCCTGCGAGTATTCAGCGTCTCCCGCACAGCCATGGAGCTCAAGATGCGCCCCCACATGGCAGCGCTGACTGCTGTTGCCTTCTCTACCGATGGTGAGGAGTTGGGTGTGTGGCGGATGGTGCCGTCCTGACCTGGCCCAGGTCCAGTCTCCAGGCTGGGGCTCACGGGGTGATGGTGTGATCCCAGGTCAGACTGTCCTCTCTGGAGACAAGGATGGGCTCGTGGCTGTGAGCCGCCCCTGCACAGGGATGACCTTCCGTGTGCTGAGTGACCACCAGGGTGCCTCGATCTCTACTATCGATGTCACCCACAAAGAGGTAAAGCAGCCCCAAGAACTGGGGAGTGGGGGCTGGAGTGCTGGGGGGAATGGGGTGCTGGGGAGAGTGGGGGCTGGGGTGCTGGGGAGAGTGGGGGCTGGAGTGCTGGGGAAAGTGGGGAATGGGGTGCTTGAGGGGAGTGGGGACAGGGTGCTGGAGGGAGTGGGGATGGGGTCCTGGAGGCAGTAGGGACCAGAATGCTGGGGGGAGTGGGGGCTGGGGTGCTGTGGGGGAGTGGGGGCCGGGGTGCTGGGGGGCAGGCACGATCTTGTCAGAAGGCACTGCCAGCCCACACCCACCCCACTCCCAGTGTGGAGACTTAGGGGTGGAGGGCACAGACCTATGGCTGGTTGCCAGTGGGGACCAGCGGGTCAGCATCTGGGCCTCCGACTGGCTGCGGAACCACTGTGAGCTGGTGGACTGGTTGAGTTTCCCAACGCCTGCCACCACAGAGGTAAGACACGTTCCTGGCACTGTGGGTGGGGCCAGTGCTCATGTGCCCGGCCATAGCACGCCGTGCCTCTGCAGACTCAGGGCCAGCTGCCGCCCTCCCTTGCTGCCTTCTGCCCCTGGGATGGGGCGCTGCTGATGTACGTGGGCCCTGGTGTGTACAAGGAGGTGATTCTCTACAACCTCTGCCAGAAGCAGGTACGCGCGCCCGCCCACGTGTCACCAGGAGCCCCGGGGGTCCGGGGTGGTAGGTGGGGACTGGCTGAGCCCTGAGCCCACAGGCCTGGAGCCTCATGCTGGCTGCCCACAGGTGGTGGAGAAGATACCACTGCCCTTCTTTGCCATGTCCCTGAGCCTGTCCCTGGGCACCCGCCTCCTGGCTGTTGGCTTTGCTGGTGAGTGCTGGTGGATGCAGAATTGGGCCTGTCTTAGGTGGGACCAGGTGGGCTCCCTGGTGTCCTGCTCCAAGACAGGTGCCTCACCTGTGCCCCAGTCTCCTCGTCTCTGGGATGAGGTGAGGACACCTGCCCTAGAGAGGGTCCTGGGGACAGGAGATGATGAGGCAGATGAGGAACCAGGCACAGTGCCCAGCACAGGGCCTGAATGCAGGGGTGGCACGGACTTTGAAGGAGGGGCCTGGCCCAGTTGTGGGGCGGCAGCACGATGCGCCCCCTAGTCCCGGTGGCAGCAGGCCCTGGGTGGTGGAGGACACAGCCGGGAGCCCTTTCAGCACTGGCTTCCCTGACCAGCATCACGCCCAGCGGGGACAGTCCTGGTGGGTTGGGGGAGCCTCCACGTGCTGCCTGGCCCTGGCCCACCTGTGCCATCTGCCCACAGAGTGCATGCTGAGGCTGGTAGACTGTGCCACGGGGACCACGCAGGACTTCGCTGGCCACGACAATGCAGTACACCTGTGCAGGTTCACACCGTCCGCCAGGCTGCTCTTCACTGCGGCCCTCAACGAGATCCTGGTGTGGGAGGTGGCCAGCTGCTGACATGTGGCGGGGACTGTGCTGCTGGGCGTGAAGCCAGGCCTCATGCGGGGACAGGCCGGGACTTCACGTAGATCGACTGGACCAGGCTGTTGTGAATTCGACAACCTGAAAATGTTTTAATAGCTGTTGTCCCTTTGCCTAAGGAGTTTTTACTGTTTCTGTCTTATAAACAAAGGCATTTATTGCATTATTGTTTTACTGTCGCACTGTCTGTCTCTGGTCACTCTTGGCCTGCGCTCAGCCCCAGCCCCGTCCCCAAACCTGCTTTTTGTCAAGGGCCCTGCGGTGCCCGGAAGCAATGGCTGCGTCTGCCAGCCAGGGTTGGCCAGGGCTCCAGGAGCCGGCAGTGCCCGGCGTGTCCGCGTGGTGGCGCTGCCGCGCAGCCAGGCCACTCTGGCCCGCCCGCCTCGCTGGTATGGCTGCGTGGGCGGGGCCGGAAGTATGCGGCCGAGCACCGGAAGTGTGGGGCGGGCGCGGGGACCGAGCGAAGGGTTGAGGACTTGGTCAGGGTCGGGGTTGGGGTCGGGTTCTGGGTCGGGTTGCGGCTCTGGGCCGCAGCCATGAGGCGGGACGTGCGCATCCTGCTACTGGGCGAGGGTAGGCGCCGGGCCGGGAGTCTCGGAATTACGTCGGCCGGGGCGTGGGGTGAGGGTCTTGGGGGTCGGGGGGTGCCTTGACCTTGGTCCCCGCGCTGACCTCCCCGCCTCGTCCCGTGCAGCCCAGGTGGGGAAGACGTCGCTGATCCTGTCGCTGGTGGGCGAGGAGTTCCCCGAGGAGGTGAGGGGTGCGCCGGCCGCGGCCGCGGGGGCGGGAGCGGGCCGGGCCGGGGTTCCCTGGTGAGCGCGCGGGTCCCTTGCAGGTCCCTTCCCGCGCGGAGGAGATCACGATCCCCGCGGACGTCACCCCGGAGAAGGTGCCCACCCACATCGTGGACTACTCAGGTAGCCGCCGCAGCCTCCCCGGGGCCCGGCCCGGCGGTCCTGCTGGGTCTGCAGTGGGGTGTCTTCCTCTCCCTAGAAGCCGAGCAGTCGGACGAGGAGCTGCGCGAGGAGATCCACAAGGTGCCCGTGGTGCGCGGGCCGAGGGAGGGGCGGGGCGCGGGCTCGGCCTAATCGGCTTCGCCTGCTGGGGGATTGGACTGAGGTGCTCAGGGTGTCCTTGGCCCTGGTAATGCTGTGACCTCCGTGCTGAGGATTGTCGGGGCCCCCACATCGCACCCCCTGGGAGCCGGCACCACTCAGTCCCGTGGCGCTCCGGGGATACTAGGGCCCTTACTCGGGCTGGTCCTCCCTCCTGCCCAGGTGGCAGTAGCGTTTGCTCTTTCTGTGGCTCTGTGTGCGCCACCTCCCTCTGCTGCGTGCTCCAGCCCACCACCCGGGGCTCACAGTATCAGCATGAGTACCAGGGACATCTCTAGGCAAGGGCACAGGCCACAGCCCCCCAGGGCAGTCTCTGCCGGGGCACCCCTCACTGCTGTCCTCTTTGATACCCTGACTGTAGTGAGGGGAGAGGCAGGGGCCAAGGTGGCATCTGGGTCTCTTGCAGGGTGCTAGGTTGCAAGTATGGCAGTATCTGTCCCGAGTCCTCTCCTCTGAGGGCCTTGCTGAGCACAACTGTGCTGCTGAGCCCTGGTGTTTGTGCACCTGCAGTTGGGGGGGAAGGGGCTTCTCTGAGCGTTCACCAGTGGCTATCAGCACCAGGCTGTAGGTAGGGTCCAGCGAAGGTAGGGTCCAGCGAACCCTGGGCTTTCCCAGCCTCAGAGCCACCGCCACGTTACCTGTGAGCGCCTGGGGCCTCCTGGAGCCGGGAGATGGTGTGGACTGGTCAGGGTTGTTGGTGGGGAGCCGGCAGCCCTGTCACCCAGGCCTTATCACCGTTCTCTCAGGCAAACGTGGTGTGCGTGGTGTATGATGTCTCTGAGGAGGCCACTATCGAGAAGGTAAGCCCCCGGTGCCCAGCACGGTCAGCAGCACCCTCTCCTCGGTGCAGACCCCAGTGGCAGAGACAGGGTGGCCCAGGTGGACCCTCACCCAACCTGTGGCCAGTGCCACCTCTCACAGCATTCTGGGGAGCCTCACGAGGAATCACCTGGCTCTCTCCTGTGATCCCACTTCCCCAGAGGGTCTGGGATCTCCCCGTGGGAGCCATTTCTTCCCAGGGGGAGCGCTGCAGAGGGCCTGTGTCAGGGGCTACCCTGGGCTTGGGCCCCAGTGACCTTGGGGGTGTTTGGGAGTCACTGGGGTCAGACAGATGTGATCACGCCTGCTGCTTGCCGTCTTGCACCAGCTTTCTTCTCCGGTGGCGTGACTTGGGCCCGCGGTTGGCCTTGACCTCCCCTTTTGTTCTCCCTGAGCCAGGCTCCAGCTCTGGCTCACAGCCAGGCTTTGCTTTGTAGATTCGAACTAAATGGATTCCGCTGGTGAATGGGGGGACCACGAGGGGGCCCAGGTAATGAGGGGGATGTGGAAGGGGCTGGGACCTTGGGCTCCCCTGCCCCTAGTGACCATGGGCCTCCAACCCAGGGTGCCCATCATCCTAGTGGGCAACAAGTCAGACCTGCGGTCGGGGAGCTCCATGGAGGCCGTGCTCCCCATCATGAGCCAGTTTCCCGAGATAGAGACCTGTGTGGAGGTGAGCGCGTCCCAGCCGAGGTGCTGGGGTAGAGGCAGGGCCCGTGGCGGGGCCTCCTTATTTCCTTGTATCCTCAGCCTGCGTCCTGAGTCTGTTCCCACTTTCCCAGTGTTCTGCCAAGAACCTGAGGAACATCTCCGAGCTGTTTTACTACGCCCAGAAGGCGGTCCTGCACCCCACAGCCCCACTCTACGATCCTGAGGCCAAGCAGGTAGGCCATCGGCTGGAGCTTCATGCACTGGTCCCCAGGAGCCCAGGGGGTGTTGGGTTGGGGTGGCAGGGTGGGTTGGCGCCGGCCGCCTAAGGATGCTGAGCCAGCTTCCCCGCAGTTGAGGCCCGCGTGCACCCAGGCTCTGACGCGCATCTTCAGGCTCTCAGATCAGGACCTGGACCAGGCACTCAGTGACGAGGAGCTCAACGCCTTCCAGGTGTGCCCCAGCCCCGCCCCTCGGTGCCCAGCCCCGGGAGTGACGGAGTGGGCCATCTCTGGGTGGCTGGCTGACTCGTGGCAACTTTCTCTCGGAGGCAGAAATCCTGCTTCGGGCACCCCTTGGCTCCGCAGGCCCTGGAGGACGTGAAGATGGTGGTGTGCAAGAATGTGGCTGGCGGCGTGTGGGAAGGCCGGCTGACCCTGGATGGTGAGGCCGGGTGCTTGCTGTGGCTGGGGGGTGTGGGGAGGGGGCTGCGCCTGGTGCTCCCACTGCTCTGTCTCGGTACAGGCTTCCTTTTCCTGAACACGCTATTCATCCAGCGTGGCCGGCATGAGACCACGTGGACCATCCTCAGGCGCTTCGGCTACAGTGACGCCCTGGAGCTGACAGCCGACTACCTGTTTCCTCCGTGAGTGGGTCTGGGGCTGAGGGTCAGGGCAGGTCTCGCTCAGTGGCTGTCTGGGGTTGTGCCCTGCAGCACAGGCCCCCCTGCCTGGCTGTACCCTGAACCCCTCGTCATCCACAGAGCTGAGTCGGGGAGGGGGCTGGCCCCTTACCAACACTGCGCTCGCCTTGTTCACCCTGCTGGGGCTGGCAGGTTGGGGTGTGGCCTGGGGGCCTCAGCTGGGCCTCCCATGTGCTGGAGCCAGATGGGCACCCTCCCGTCCCAGCTGCAGGGTTAGGGGCGTACAGGAGCATCTGGGTCCTCAGACGAGGCCGGCAGGGTGGCAGACATGCCGAGCGCTGGGGCACAGTCTCCTGGGAACTTAATGCGCTGTCGCCTCCCTGCAGGCTGCACGTGCCCCCTGGCTGTAGCACAGAGCTCAACCACCTCGGGTACCAGTTTGTGCAGAGGGTGTTTGAGAAGCACGACCAGGTGAGAGCATGGCGACCCCCCCGCCCCCCACTTCGCCGCACACGTCACCACAGCCCCTCCCCCACAGGACCATGACGGCGCCCTCTCGCCAGTGGAGCTGCAGAGCCTCTTCAGTGTGTTCCCGGCGGCCCCCTGGGGCCCCGAGCTTCCGCGCATGGTCCGCACGGAGGCCGACCGGCTGCCCCTACACGGATACCTCTGCCAGTGGACGTAAGCAAGGCACGCACCACGCCCCCCCACTGCGCCACCCTCCCCACCATAACGCTGTGCCTCCCGCCCACCCCCAGTCTGGTGACCTACCTGGACGTCCGGAGCTGCCTCGGGCACCTGGGCTACCTGGGCTACCCCACCCTCTGTGAGCAGGACTCCCAGACCCGCGCCATCACAGGTAGGCACCCACCTTCCCGGGGCCTGGGCCCAGCACCCTGGCTGCCGCCCTAACCTGGGTCTGTCCTCACAGTCACCCGTGAGAAGAGACTGGACCAGGAGAAGGGACAGACGCAGCGGAGCGTCCTTCTATGCAAGGTGGTAGGGGCCCGCGGAGTGGGCAAGTCCGCCTTCCTGCAGGCCTTCCTCGGCCGCAGCCTGGGGGTGAGCACCCATTCCCCACCCTAGGGGCTCCAGTGGCTGGGCAGGGCAATCTGGGGAGCCAGCGAGTCTCAGGGTCTCCCCTCCCTCAGCACCAGGACACCAGGGAGGAGCCTCCCGGCTACGCCGTCGACACGGTGCGGGTCAACGGGCAGGAGAAGTACCTGATTGTGAGTGCTGGGGGGCCGGCCAGTGCCCGAGGGTGGACCCGGGGACACCCAGGCTTGCCTGGCACAGCCCTTGGGGGACCCAGCCCCAGGGGCCCTCCCTGAGGTCACCATCTGTCCCAGCTATGTGAGGTGGGCCCAGAGGGCCTGCTGGCCACGTCGCTGGACGCCGCCTGTGATGTTGCCTGCTTGATGTTTGATGGTAGTGACCCAGAGTCCTTTGCACACTGTGCCAGCGTCTACAAGGTGGGGTCCTGCAAGGGCCGCGTGGTCGCGGGGCAGGGTCTGTCCCACCAGCTGTGCCTCAGCCAGCCCAGGACAGGCCCTCACACTGTGCTCTGCTCACAGCGCCATTACATGGACGGGCAGACGCCCTGCCTCTTCGTCTCCTCCAAGGCAGACCTGCCCGAAGGTGTCCTGCCGGCTGGTCTGTCGCCAGCCGAGTTCTGCCGCAAGCACCGGCTGCCTGCTCCGGTGCCATTCTCTTGTGCTGGCCCAGCCGAGCCCAGCGCCGCCATCTTCACCCAGCTCGCCACCATGGCCGCCTTCCCGTGGGTACCCGGCAGCTGTGTCTGTCATCTGGGCAGTGGGCAGCAACTGGGGCCAGGGTTGCGGGGTGGTTTTGTGTGGCAGAGGGAGTCAGTGCCCAGGCATGCCCCTCCATGGCCTGGCATCTGCTGGCTGTGCCTCTGGTCTGGGAACCTTGCCCATGGGGCCCTGTGACTGTCCAGGACATGGGAGGGTGCCCCGAAGCAGCGGGGGGCCTGTGCCTGAGGCGTCTGCAGACAGCTCTCTCTCTTGCAGACACTTGGTCTACGCAGAGCCGCGTCCCTCCTCCTTCTGGCTCCGGGGGCTGCTAGGGGTTGTCGGGGCCGCCATGGCTGCAGTCCTCAGCTTCTCGCTCTACAGGGTCCTGGTGAAGAGCCAGTGAGGGCCCTGGTACCCAAGTCCCTCTCAACCTGGGCCTGGCTCTGCCGGGGCAGCACCGCTGGGTGCAGGCCAGGCCGCCATGCTGGGAACACCCTTCTGCTGCCTTTCTGCTTCTGAAGGCAGGTCTGTCTGTCTGCAGCGGGGCCTCGTGCGGCCACGCACTGCCCTGGCTCCTCTCCGACCCCCAAGGCTCCGCTGGGCTGTTGGAGCCTTGGCGGCTGAGCAGGAGTCCCGAGTGCCGGCCACACTGTCGCGCACTGCCCACCTCGGCAGGACGTGTATTGGGCTGGGGAGCACGGGTGTGGAAGCCAGTGACCCCAGACCCAGAATTCTCAGGGCTCTACCCGCTTTTCTGGTCCTGGGTGGCCAGTGGATATGAGGAGGGCTGGGAGGCGGAGCTCCGGGTGGGGGTTTCCACTCCCTTGAATTTGGAGCCACGGCAGAGGACAGGAGGTTGGGCTTCCCAATTAAACTTCACTGTGTCTTTTCCATCTCTCGGATCCCAGTCTCTGAAGACAACTTACCTTGTATCAACCTCAAATGTGTTCTTTGTCTTGATGTGGGCTGGACACGTCATTCCTCCCTTGTCCGTGCGTCCCTGGCCTGAGGTCCCAGGGCTGTGTGTGTGGCCTCTGGAAGGTCCAGTCAGGCTGTGGCCTGGGAGCCCCAGCGTCTGATAGTGGGAGCCCACTGTAGGCGGATGGTGTGTGCTCGGCATGGACTGGGGGGCGCTGGTGCCTGAGATGTTTTCCTGGTGACTGACCCCTTCCTGGGGTCTAGTGTTCCCTGGAGCTGCCCACTCACTCTCCAGAGCATCTTGCCAGCCTGGCTGAGCTGTGCCAAGAATCTGGGCTTGTAAGTGTGACCAGGTGTGATCGCTGCCTGCCACAGAGCCCCAGGGTCCTGGCCCAAGGGGAGCAGGATGGGCCGGAGGGAGGGACAGGCTTGGAGTTGAGCTCAGATGCCTGCTTCTCGGGACCCACAGCATGGGCTTCCCAAGGTGGCCCAGACAAATACCCGCAGGCCTGGACCACACAGGCTCTGCCGGGGAGCTTGTGGCATCGGGCCCAGAAGCCCCTCCCCCGACTCCTGCTGTCTTAGCCCGCTGTACCTTGTGGCTGCCTGCTGGGACTACTACATCCCTAGGAGGAGCTGTTTGAGTGGCCCTTGTAGGGGCTGCCATAGTCACACATGTCTCGTCTGTTACCTCCATTGTTGAGGGCTTGGTCCACTCCCGGGAGCAGGTCCCCTCACCCCAACTGCAGCCCTGCCCTCTGGGGGCTCTGCTCTGTCTGAATGCCCCTTGTGTCCACCCGGGCGCCTTCATAGGGTGGGAAGCTTTGCTCTCCTGCATGGAGCCGGAAGAGCGGTCAGGGGCCTCCAGCCCAGGGCATGGACGAGTGGGCTGGGCTTCATCGTCAGAGCGCAGGCAGCTGCAGCAGGGTCTCCCTCATCCTAGGAGGTGGTTGTGTGGGGTGTGGGGCCGAGGGGGCTTCCACTAGAGGTAGAGCGTGTATCTGCCCCAAGCAGGGAGCAGCTCCAGCCGGTTCAAAGCAGGAACTGCCTGGAGCACTGGGTCAGCCTGGAGGGAGCAAGCACGGCTCAGGGAAAGCTTCCTGGAGAAGGTGGCAGCCTCACAGGCCTGAGCCCAGGAAGGCTGTGAGAGGGCGAACGGTCTTGTATGGGGGGTTTTAGGTGCCGCCTATCCCCGTGACTCCGTTTACCAGCTGCTGCCGCGGAGGTCGTCCAGTGCGCTGGAGCTGCGCCAGAGCGGGGGTGGGGGCCGGCACTGGGACGCGGTGCTCGCTGGAGGCGGTTCCTGTCCGGGATGTGCGTCCGCGTGCAGGGTGCGCGCGTGTCCTGGCCGCGCGTGGCGCCGTGTGCGGCAGGGGCGGGCAGGCGGGCGACTCGGTGACGCGGCCCAAGCGCGGCGCCGATCGGAGCGGGCGGAGCGGGCCGGCTGGGGCGGAGCGGAGTCGTCCGCAGAGCAGCCCCTCCCGGCCGCGGCCGCCGACCCCGGCCCCCGGCCCGGCTCTATGGACAGGAGCTCGCTGCTGCAGCTCATCCAGGAGCAGGTGCGTCGGGGGGTGGTCTGGGGAGCTGGCACCGCCCCCAATGCGGCCCTCCTGCCGCTGAGCTGAGCTTGTGCGGGACCGAGCTCCCCGAGAGCCCCGCTCGGCACCCACCTCATCCCTCCACGACCTTGGCCCCTGTGTCTTGGGCCCCAGGAGGGGACTGACTGGACCAGGGCTCCTGGGGGGAGGGGGAAGGGAGAGAGGGTGGAAGTGGGGAAGGGAGGGAGGGCTGGCTGGTGGCTGGCTGCTCTTGGACCTTGGCCCTCCCCTTCCTGGGTGGGTAGGGTGGAAGGTGGGGAAACAGCTGAAGAGCTGGAGGACTGGGATCCAGGCACCAGTGCCCTGCCAGCTCCTGGGCTCAAGTAGGGTCCCAGGCAACAGGCAGGCATGGGGCCCCTGTCCCAAAAGTGCCTGGATCCTGAGCCTGACGCTCCCAGCCAGCCTGGTCCGGCCCTTTGGTCCAGGGGTCTGGCCCACATTCAGGCGTTGGTCCGCGGCTCCTCACTGCAGCAGCTGGATCCCGAGAACACAGGCTTCATCGGTGCAGACAGCTTCGCTGGCCTGGTGCACAGCCATGAGCTGCCTCTGGACCCGGCCAAGCTGGACATGCTGGTGGCCCTGGCTCAGAGCAACGAGCAGGGCCAGGTCTGCTACCAGGAGCTGGTGGACCTGGTCAGTGCCACGGTGGGCGGGCGGAAGGTTAACTGTCCTAGTCAGAGGAGGTGGGCAGGCGGCCCTCACGGGAGGGGTCCTGTGGATGTGGGGAGCTGGGTGAGCCCCGCAGGCAGGGGTGCCGTGGGAAGGTCCGTGGCCCATGCTCAGGCCCCTGCCCTCAGATCAGCAGCAAGCGCTCCAGCAGCTTCAAGCGGGCCATTGCTAACGGACAGCGGGCACTGCCCCGGGACGGGCTGCTGGACGAGCCGGGCCTGGGAGTCTACAAGCGGTTTGTGCGCTACGTGGCCTACGAGATCCTGCCCTGCGAGGTGGACCGCCGCTGGTACTTCTACCGACACCGCAGCTGCCCACCCCCCGTGTTCATGGCCTCGGTCACCCTTGCCCAGGTGGGCCCCCCAGCCGCTGCCCCGGGAGCCTCCCGCGCTCCTGGCCTTGACCAGCTAACACTCGTGTCCCCAGATCATCGTGTTCCTGTGCTATGGGGCCCGCCTCAACAAGTGGGTGCTGCAGACCTACCACCCTGAATACATGAAGAGCCCCCTCGTGTACCACCCCGGGCACCGTGCCCGTGCCTGGCGCTTCCTCACCTACATGTTCATGCACGTCGGGTGAGTGGGGCTGCTGCCCAGTGAGCCCCCCCCACCCCATCTGCAGTTCCATCAAAGGCTCAGCCTCAGGGCAGGTGCAGCAACTTGAGGAGAGGGCTGGGGGTGGGGCCTGATGGCTGACCCCACCCCTCATGCCCATTTGCTCCCGTGTGGCCAGGCTGGAGCAGCTGGGGTTCAACGCCCTCCTGCAGCTGATGATCGGGGTGCCCCTGGAGATGGTGCATGGCCTGCTCCGCATCAGCCTGCTCTACCTGGCGGGCGTGCTGGCAGGTGAGGTAGGCGCACACCCTCGCCCCCTACCCTGGCCGGCCGCACCCTCACCCACCACTTGCTCACACAGGCTCCTTAACCGTCTCCATCACCGACATGCGGGCCCCGGTGGTGGGAGGCTCCGGCGGGGTCTACGCCCTGTGCTCGGCACACCTGGCCAACGTCGTCATGGTAACGGGCCTGCCCGGTGGGGGGCGTGGGGAGGAGCCCCTGGCAAGCCTCACGGCCTCTCCTCTGCACACCCCCCCTAGAACTGGGCTGGGATGAGATGTCCTTACAAGTTGCTGAGGATGGTGCTGGCCTTGGTGTGCAGTGAGTAGGGATTGAGGGGGAGGGCGGGGGGCCCTCTCAGCCTGCAGCCGGGGCACCTCCCACCTGCCGAATCCCTCTGCAGTGAGCTCCGAGGTGGGCCGGGCCGTGTGGCTGCGCTTCTCCCCGCCGCTGCCCGCCTCGGGCCCACAGCCCAGCTTCATGGCGCACCTGGCAGGCGCGGTGGTGGGGGTGAGCATGGGCCTGACCATCCTGCGCAGCTACGAGGAGCGCCTACGGGACCAGTGCGGCTGGTGGGTGGTGCTGCTGGCCTACGGCACCTTCCTGCTCTTCGCCGTCTTCTGGAACGTCTTTGCCTACGACCTGCTTGGCGCCCACATCCCCCCACCGCCCTGACCGGCTACCTGAGTCTGCACAGGCCATGGCTTGCACATGGTGGCTGTCCCCCCATGGGCCTTCACGCCTGCCCTTGTGAACGGACGTCTCAGGGCTGCTGTGCCCCTTGGGTGTGGGTGGCCTCGGAGGAGACCCTGTCCCGGCCAACTCCCTACCCCCAGGACTCACAGTCTGAGCCTTTTTGGATAATTAATAAATATTTTGCACAGCACCAGGGGAACTTGTCAGGATCTCCACACCTGCTGAACGGACCATCAGGGCCCTGCCCACCACGAGAGCCTGGCTTCCCTCCCTGTGCACCTCTGCACATGGAGACATGTGTGGGACTTGTTTCCTGGGCCACAGGTGCTGTGTCTGTGGGAGTAAGGGCACCCAGGAGGGTTGGGGGCCAGGTGTGTGTTCAGGCCAGGAGTGTGGTCAGGCATGAGTTCAGCAAGTGTTTATTGAGCTCCCATGGTGGCGGCCTTTCTGGCATCCAGTGACATCCGAGGCCTGAGGTTGTGTGGCGGGTAAGTGGGCCGGGGCCCTAGCCGAGTCCACTCAGCCTGGGTCCTTCGCTTCTTGGCTGGCCTAGCATCCTCGTGGGTGGCCAGGCTGGGGCCAAGTTTGGGCAACAGGTGTGGGCACAGCCTCTGCTCCACGGCCCAGGTCCACAGCGCTGTCCCCACTAGGTAAGGAGTCCACTGTCCTGAGGCACTGGCTAGGGAGGGGCACACGGAATCAGGCCCAGGGCACAGGGCCCCCCACCCTGCTCATGTACAGATCGATCACCTTGGCTCAGAGCTCGAACCCGGCCCAGGGACAGCAGGTTGTGCCTGAGGGTGTACTGTGGGCCAGAAGGCTGGGCACCGTGGCCACTGCCTCATCTGACAAGAAGGCTTCCAGCTTTGGCGCTCCAGCCACCAGGACTGCTCTGAGCAGTGAGGAGACAGCAGCCAGACACCTCATCGGGACAAGCTCTGGGAGACCCTGCTCCTGCTCTCAGGAACATGCAAGGGCCCAGACTGCCGACTTCACAGACAGGGATGCCTATGCACCCAGGTCGTGTCCACCCGGGTCACATGTGGTGGGCCCACACGGCGGAAGGCACACAGGTTTTTGACTGTGGCCCCCGAATCTGGCAGGAGTCAGAAGGCGGAGGTCCAGCAGTGCACAGCCAGCTCAGGGGAATTGGTGGCCATCGCTGCTGCAGACATGGCCAGAAGCGGCCTCTCTGTGGGAGGCCAGGTCAGGATGCCTGGGGTGGTGGACCCACCAAGGAACCCCGCCGCCCCGCCCCAGGATAGAGCCCCGCCCCCACGAAGACAAGTCCCTAGGAGGCCCCGCCCACGAAGAAGCACCACCCCGCCGATGCCACGCCCTGAGGGCCCGCCCTACGGAGGCCCCGCCCCGCGCGCCGGCCGCACCCCACCGGCAGCCTCCAGGCTAGCAGCTGCTCCAGCTTCCTTCGCGTCACGTGCTTCTCCGCTCGGCCCTTGATGGCCGCCAGCAACTCCTCCCGTTACCTGGGAAAGGGGGTGAGGGGAGGTCCGGCCACGGGGACACTCGCCCCACGGATCCCTTCATCCCTTACCAGTCTATCAACGGTCCACGGCTTCCAGCCGCTCTCGGGGGCCCGCGCGCGCTCGTAGCACCTTTCGGTGGCGCTTCAGGATGGCAGCCCAACAAGCTGCTGGGGTCCTCACAGCCCCAGAGCGCGTGGGAAGATGCCATGTTCACGTGCAGGGGACGGGCCGGCTGTCGGGGGCGGGGCCTCTGCAAATGGGGTCGACCCCTGAGGGCGGGGCTGGCTGCCAGGGGCGGAACCTCTGCAGACGGAGCTGACTGATGGAAGCGTGGCCGGCTGCTGGGGGCGGGGCCTCTGCGGATGGGCCAACTGCTGGGTGCTGGGGCGGCTGTCGGGGGCGGAACCGCTGCAGCTGGCTCAAGGGCTGGGGGCGTGGCCGGCTGCTGAGGGGCGGGGCCTCTGCGGATGGGCTAGCTGCTGGGGGTGGGGGCGGCTGCCGGGGGCGGGACCTCTGCGATGGGCCCCCTGCTGGGGGTGGGGGCGGCTGCCGGGTGCGGGACCTCTGCGGATGGGCCAGCTGCTGGGGGTGGGGGCGGCTGCCGGGGGCGGGACCTCTGCAATGGGCCAGCTGCTGGGGGTGGGGGCGGCTGCCGGGGTCGGGACCTCTGCGGATAGGGCCCGTTGCTGGGGGCGGCGCCGGCTGCTGGGGGCGGGGCCCCTGAGAATGGGACCTTTGCGGGTTGGGCCGGGGGCGGAATCCCACGTGGGCGGGACAGGCTTTTAGGGAAGCAAGCCCTCAGCGAACCAGAAGGCATCTCACGGGGAAAATCGAATGTATGGGACGACCGCCACCGAGGCCAGTTCTGAAGAGGCCTCAGCGGGGCAGGCCGGGCCTCCGCGAACGCCGACCCTGAAGAGCGCGGGGCCGAGGAACCGGAGCGTTCCTCGCAGTCCGCGACGTCGCGGGCCCACTGTCCCCGCCCAGACTGGTTGGGCGCACGCGCGGCCCTCCCCGCCCCCCGACGCCTGCGTCCCCGCTGATCCCGCCCCCGGCCGGAAGTTCCGGCGGCGGAGCTGGGCCGGGCCCCAGCGGATCGCGGGCTCGGGCTGCGGGGCTCGGGCTCGGGCTGCGGGTGCAGGGCCGCCAGGCGCGGAGCTTGGGAGCGCAGCCCAGGCCGTGCCGCGCGGCGCCATGAAGGGCAAGGAGGAGAAGGAGGGCGGCGCGCGGCTGGGCGCTGGCGGCGGTAGCCCCGAGAAGAGCCCGAGCGCGCAGGAGCTCAAGGAACAGGGCAACCGTCTGTTTGTGGGCCGAAAGTACCCGGAGGCGGCGGCCTGCTACGGCCGCGCGATCGTGAGTGCGCCCGCGCGGGGAGGGCGGCGACGGCGAGGCGGAGGGCCAGGCCCGCGACCGGCCGGCCCCGCCGAGGGTCTGGCTCCTCCGCGGCGGGTATCCTGGGCTCCGAAAGCCCAGCATTGGTTCTCGAGCCCAGCGCCAGGTGCCGGGAACGAGGGTGGGATGCTAGATGGAGGCCGGCCGGGGTGGGTGGGAGGCCAGGGGCCTTCGCCCCTTGATGACCCCAGGTCCAAAGCTGGGACTCTCCAAAGATCTGGAAAACTACAAAACCAATTGGAGTGAAGTGTGTAGGCTCAGCCAGTAGTTCCCTGTCTGCAGATCCTTGGACGCAGAGGCTTTGACTACTGGGAGGTCTAGTTTCTTGATCCTGGCCATATCGCAGAAGCTGGGACGGGCCCTGGGGACAGAGGGGGCACGCTGAGCCTACGCCCTGATGCGGCTGGCCTGGCCCTGGTCCCTAGACCCGGAACCCGCTGGTGGCCGTGTATTACACCAACCGGGCCCTGTGCTACCTGAAGATGCAGCAGCATGAGCAGGCCCTGGCCGACTGCCGGCGCGCCCTGGAGCTGGACGGGCAGTCTGTGAAGGCTCACTTCTTCTTGGGGCAGTGCCAGCTGGAGATGGAGAGCTATGACGAGGCCATCGCCAATTTGCAGCGAGGTTGGCTGACAAGCTGCCCGGTTGTGGGGTTCCTGGGACCTGGCGGTTGGACTGGCCAGGGTGATTTGCAGCCCTTGTTCCCCAGCCTACAGCCTGGCCAAGGAGCAGCGACTGAACTTTGGGGACGACATCCCCAGCGCTCTTCGAATCGCGAAGAAGAAGCGCTGGAACAGCATCGAGGAGCGGCGCATCCACCAGGAGAGTGAGCTGCACTCCTACCTTTCGAGGCTCATTGCGGCTGAGCGTGAGAGGTGGGACCCTTACCCCAGGCCGCCCTGTCGGGGGATAATTCTGAATAACCAATCAGCAACACCTATGTTTATTGCTTTTACTGGCGAGTAGTAAATGTGGGGAAGCAGCCTAGATGTTAGCCTTGAGGTTGGGGTGGGTGTGGTCAGACATCTCTTGGCCAGGTCCATCTCTGACGGGCCCCTGCTTATCCCCCAGGGAGCTGGAAGAGTGCCAGCGGAACCATGAGGGTGATGACGACGACAGCCACGTCCGGGCCCAGCAGGCCTGCATTGAGGCCAAGCACGTGAGGGTGCCCCCATCCACACGTGGGTCTGTGTGTGCGCACGTGGCGCGGGAGCGTCCCCACCCTGCTGTGGGTCCGTGTGTCCCTGCCTCGTGTTGGGTCTGTGTGCCCCGGAGGAGGGAGGTGGGGTGTCCCTCCCAAGCACTGCTCAACTTTCCACAGGACAAATACATGGCGGACATGGATGAGCTCTTCTCTCAGGTGGATGAGAAGAGGAAGGTGAGTGTTGCTGTGGGTGGCAGGTGCCACAGCAGGCCCTTCCCCAGCCTCTGACCCCGTGCCCGTGTGCCACAGAAGCGAGACATCCCCGACTACCTGTGCGGCAAGATCAGCTTTGAGCTGATGCGGGAGCCCTGCATCACGCCCAGTGGCATCACCTACGACCGCAAGGACATCGAGGAGCACCTGCAGGTCAGGCTGTGGCCAGGGGGTGGGCAGGGCCAGCAGCACGCTCCTGGGCCCGCTGAGCATCCTCTGCCTGTTGTCGCTGCAGCGTGTGGGTCATTTTGACCCTGTGACTCGGAGCCCCCTGACGCAGGAACAGCTTATTCCCAACCTGGCTATGAAGGAGGTCATTGACGCGTTCATCTCTGAGAACGGCTGGGTAGAAGACTACTGAGGCCCCCCACCCTAGCGAGGTCCTGGCCCAGGAGGGCAGAAGGCCCCGGCCCCTGTACATAGTTTGTGTCCCTGGCCACCCTCTTCCCCTCCCCCCAAGTTCTGCTGTTGGGCTCTGGACTGTTCCCCTCTCAGCGTAGCTCTTGCCGGGCCGTGATCCTCCCCGTCCCCACTTCTGGGCTGGAAAAGCAGGTGAGGGTGGGCTGGGCTGGGCTGAGGCCCCTTCGGCCACTGTCTGTGTAATAAAATCCGTGAGCACAAGGTGAGGAAGTGCTCTGTGGGGCAGAAATGCCTGCTGACTGCTCTGGCTAGCCGAGGAAGGTGGAGATGAAGACGCTGGTGTCAAGGTTGAGTGTGGCATGCCACCAGCGATCGGGGAAGTACAGCACCTGGTGGAGGGAGGGGTACAGCAGAGATTAGCTGGGGGCCTCTGACCTGGCCCAGTCTCCTCCTGTCAACCACTGACCTCACCAGCCCGGATGGTGCACTCCAGGGGCCGGGCAGACGGTGGCAGGGCTGGGTATGTGTCCCGGAGCCAGGCCAGCGTGGTCTTGTTGGGGTGGAACTCTGGCGTCTTCTCAGGTGGATAGAGGAACCAGCGCTGTGGGCCGGAGCAGCAGCGTCACCCTTGCTCGTGTTGGGCATCCAGCCCTGGGCCCCCACCCACCCCATGCTGACCTTTCGGCCGTAGATCACTTCCGAGTACCCAGGCCCGTGCCAGTGGAAGGGCACCCCCGAGCCGGCTCCTGCAGGGTTATGAGCACCTGGTGACCCACCTGTTTTGTGTCCATTCTCAGAAGCCTCACTCCTCCCCAGTCCCAAGGAGCACCCACCTGCGATTCCAAAGCTGTACGCTGGAGCAGTACCCGGCAGACCAAATGGGGGTGGGGAGTAGTGCCGAAAAAGCGAGGCCCATTCAGTGAAGTTGTTGTCCCCGAAAAAGTACAGGGTGTCTGCCAACAGAGACGGTGGGGACAGGGATCCCGGCACCTGGAGACTCCAAGCGTGTCGGCCTTCCCCCGCCGCCACCACCGCCACCCACGGCTGACTCACCATTGCCCAGGGAGGTGGGGTCCTGGGGGTGCAGCAGCTGCTCCACATACTCTTGGAAAGGCAAGTCCACTGTAGGAAAGGGAGGGGTCAGGACCAGCTGCTCCAGCCGTCCCGGTGTTGCAAGCAGGCGGGCCCCGGGGTGGGGCAGCTCACCTTTCTGGTAGGAGTACGTGTTGGCGGTGCTCAGCCGGACCATTCTGTCTCCAAACGACGCCAGCAATCTTTCGCGGGAGCACTAGGGCCCGGAACCTCTGCGGGGGCGGGGGGCGGGGGCGGGGGCTTAGCAGCCGGGCCCAGCACGTGCGAGTGTGGCCGGGGACGGGCGCGCGCTCACCGAGTTGTCCGTGAGTCCCTGCAGGATGACGGGCCTGACGAACGCGTAGCTGGAAGGAAGGGCAGGGTCGTGGCCAGGCTCGACCGCCACCCTCGCCGCCCCCGCCCCTCACGCGCGCGAGCTCGGGGGAAGACGGCCTTGGGCGGGCGGGTGGAGGTGGACAGGGCGCGATCTCCGCGGACAGGGGCGCACGTACTGCCGCACGAACTCGGTGTAGGTGAGGTCGGCGCGGCGCTCCACCTCGCAGCGCTCCTCCTCCGCCACAGCCCCCGGCCCGCCCCGGCGCCTGCGGGCACAGCCGGGTCAGCCCGCGCCCGACCCGCCGCACGTGATCCCCCGCCCGGCCCGGCCCGGCCCGGGCCGCTCACCACCCGCCGTCGCCCTCCTGTCCCGAGCTGGGTACAACCAGAGCCGCCAGCGCCCAGAGCGCGAGCAGCCGCCACCCCGGCGCCATGAGCCCGCTGCCCTCAGGCAGCCGCGCTGCACGCCGGGAACCTCAGGCCAGTCCGCCAGCCATTGGCTGGCGGCTTCGTCGTCGCGGCAACCGCCGGGAGCCCGGAAGTGACCTCCTTTGCCCCGCCCCGGAAGAGGTCTCTACGGGCACCGCTGGTTACCCTGGCGACAGCCCCGCAGAAAGCCCCCGCGCACCCGCTGCACCGCAAGCACACTGCAAGCCCGCCGCGCTGACAGCGATTTCACTTCCTTTATTGGGGTTTCAAGTTCCAGCCTCCGCCCGTGCGGGGCACAAGACCAGGCGGGGTGCTGCACGCGGCCGGCCGGGCGGTCAGGTCCCCAGGCCCCAGGGGAGCCTGGCAGACGCTCAGGAGTACTCGCAGAGGTGGCCGCAGCCCGCGGGACAGTGGGAGCTGCCTTCCAGCCACTTCATGATGTGCTGCAGGTGGCCGCCGTGGCTGCAGCCCTGGCACCACACGAACAGGCCCTTGACAACGTGGTGGCAGACGGCGCACATGCTGGCGCAGCGGTGGCACCTGGGGGCGGGCGGGAGGGCGGACGCCTCAGCGGAGGCTCCCGCGCTGCCTGCAGGCCCCTGCCCCACCTCCCGACCCCACTGCCCACCTGTCGCAGACCCAGCCCCGGCTGCTCATGGGCCGTTTGCAGTGGCTGCAGTTGACATGCAGGGTGGTGGAGGCCTGGTTGAGGCAGCTGACCGCACGGCTCGTGCTCAGCTTGACCACCTCGTTGGACACGTTCCACAGGCGGAAGCGCTGCAGCAGGTCTATGTAGGAGGTATACCAGTGCTCCTGGGAAAGGAGTGCCCGGCGGTCAGAATCTGGGTGCAGGGCAACGCGCTTCAGAGGGAGGAGGCCCCGCCCGCCACACACCTGGGTCTGCTCGTCGATGTCTTTGCGCACCCGTTCACCCAGGACGATGAGCACAGATACAGCCATCTGCACGTCACCCTGCTCAGCATAGAAATGCAGCATGTCCCGCACCAGCACGCTGAAGAAGTCGGGCGGCAGGCGGCTGTCGTAGAGCGCGTGTGAGACGGACAGGAGCGAGAAGGAGGAGTCCACGGGGGCCAGGGAGGCCACATCCGCCTCGCTGCCGCTCACGTGCGGGGAGTCGGCCTTGTCCTGCAGGTGCTCGGGCCCGGGAGGTGTGTCCACAATCTCATGGCGCAGTGGAAAGGCCTCCTGCGGCAGCACGCACTCGGGCTCCTCGGCTGGGAGGCCCGGGCGAGCAGAAGCTCTGAGCCTCCGTCCTCCATCCACTTCTCCACCCGGCCCTGCCCGGACCCCACTTACGGTGCGTGTGTTCCGGGTCCAGCAGGTACAGCTCGTCATCCTCGCCCTCCACGTCACCCAGGAGGTAGTCGGCAGGTACGTCGCTGCCCTCGGTTTCCTCGTTATCTGCCCAACGTTGGGACCGGCATTCAGGGTCCTGTGGGATGCCCCCGCCCCACTCCCGCCAGCACCCCCACCCACCACAGCCTACCCTCATTGGTGATGAGTGTGGCGGAGGAGTCAAGCAGAACCGTGTCGCTCCGGGCGTCTCCTTTGCTGCGGTCCAGCCGGGTCTCACTGCCCAACCCTGGGGCCATATCCTTCAGATTGAAACTGAAGGCAGAAAAGGCCCATGGGTAGGTGGGCTTGAGCGGCCCAAGCCCCTGGGGAGAGCTGTCCCTGGCATCTACCTGTTCATGAGCTGCAGGCCACAGGAGCCACCCTTGCCCATGCTGTGGCTGAGGTTTGCGGTGGGCAGCAGGCCAGGGCTGCAGTAGATGGTCCGCAGCATGGTCCACGTCTGCGCCACCTGGGGGCAGGCACTGGTCACTTGTGGGGGTCCTGGTAACCCAGCACCCCATGCAGGTTCCCCTTTGCCTGGACTGAATCACAAGCCCTCAGCATTCAGCTGCCCCACGGACCCAATGTCTAGGCCCGCCCCAGGTAGGGAAGCTGAGGTTCATGGGAAGAGAAAAATCCCAAGCTCCATCCTACAGCAGCACAGAGAACGGAATTGAGCGGAAGGGAACTGCGGGGCAGCAAGAGATGGGCATGGGGGCAGCAGCTCACACGTCTACCGCGGCCAGTGCCTGGAGAGCTGCAGAAGCAAGGGGGCAGAACAGAGCTTGACCACATGACTCCCCAGACCTCCGCCCTGCAGAGGACAGTGCTCGGTCCAGCCCACCCTGGAGCCTGGCCCTGTGTGATCCTGATACCCTCGGCTGCCGGGGCAAGGGCTGTTGGTAGGACTGGCTGGAGCCCAGTGCGGAGCTTGAAGTGGGGGGCGGGACAGCTGGCAGGGGAACCAGCCCCGGGCCCCGCAGGCTCACCACCCACCCACCTGGTTGCGGCCAAGCTCTCGAGCCACCTTTGCATTATGGTCACACAGCTCAGCCAGCGGCCGGCCGGCCAGCGCATAACGCTCAGCTGTGTCCACAAACCAGCGCATGGCGCCGCCACCCGGCTCCGTCTCAAAGACGCTGAGGGCGCTGGAGGCGAGGCCTGCAAAGGGCTCAGCAGGGTCCAGCTTGCGCTTAAAGAAGATGGGGTGGCGTCGGTCACCAGTGTAGGGCTTGCGCCCTGACTCGGCAGCCACAAGGCTCTCCTTGGCGGCAAAGGCCAGGTCTCCGAAGAGGCCGTAGCAGAGGCCCTCGGGGTTGGCACGCTCCACGGGCTGGCTGGCGTCACGGAACAGGTGCTGGCAGAGTGAGCTGTCCTTGGAGCCAGACAGCAGGAAGGAGGGGTCGTGTGGGTGGCGCCAGGCGATGCCTGTGGTGACGTCTCGATGCTCCTCGAACATGGCAGCTGGCACGAAGGGCCGGCGCACGTCCCACACGTAGATGTTGTGGTCCACCATCATGGAGCACGTGGCCAGATGGTGGCGGCACTCCGGCCGCCACTTGACACGGGCCACCGAGGCAATGGTCTGCACACAGTGCATCTCCTTGGCGCGGTGTGTGGTCATGTCCCAGACCTTCACCATCTTGTCGCGCCCTCCTGTGGCCAACCAGCCCCTGTGGGAAGGCCCCATCCAAACCCTCAATGGCCTTTCCCACGGACAGGGGACCCCCCACCCAGCTCTGCTGCTCCCAACTGTCTCACAGGTCACAGGCAGTGAGAGCCTCCTGTCAGCCTGCTGTCCCTGCACTCCCATGCACACCTATCCTCGGGGTGCCAGTCGCAGCAGAAGACGGGGCCGTTGTGGGCCGTGAACATTCTCTCACACCGGTCGGGGCGCCGGATGTCCCAGAGCTGCACATTGCCATTCTCAAAGGTGGAGGCGAAGGTGAAGTAGTCCCGGATACTGAACTGGACGTCCCGCACGCTCTCGGACTGGCCTGCAGGCAGGGCGTCAATGCAGGGGAGGTGAGGGGGTGGCCCACGGGGTGCCCCCTTGGAGCAGCTGTGGAATGGTGTCACACACCTGCCTGTGGCCCAGAACAGAGGCCCAGAGGGTAGAGTGCCCCAGGGAGCAGCCACATAGAGTCGCCACAAGAAACTGGGCCCGGGAGCAGCACGCCGGGTGGTTTTTAACACATCCTCACAGGCCCCATTTGCACCACATTCTGCAACCTGCATCTGCCCATGAGCAAAGCTGGGGTGCAGCCTCAGGACACAGCAGCTGAGCACTGGAGTACAGGAACCCACCCAGTCATCACCCACTCCCGTGGCCTCCTGCGGGAGGCCCAAAGAGATGCTGAGCAGGGTGCCCCCGGCCTCGACACAGTCCCTTCACCTGGAGCTGGAGCTGCCTGGTCAGCCCCAAAGGACTGGGGGACTCAGGGTCCAGGTCCATCCTAGTGGACCACCTCACCAAGAGCCTCTGAGGGTGTGCCCAGCCTTCCTCCAGGGCCCTCCAGGGCAAGCAGCTCGGGATCTGTCTTAAGTGGCTTGTAAATTCTCTGAGGCCCCTGAGAGTTCCACGTCACCTCGTCTCTTCGTGAACAAGGGAGAACTGGCTCAGGGTGGCCACTGGAGCTGGGCCTGCTAGGAAAAGGGCCCCGGGACACTGGATAGCAAACCCACCTCCTCTGCCTCCCCGGGCCAGGAAACCTGGAAGTCCTGGCAGACTTCTTGCTGTGAGGCAGCCTCTGCAGCTCCCAGGTGAGGGGAGGGAGTCCTGTAGTGGCTTTCTGCTCAGTCACCTGGGCTGGCTGGAAGATCACTGGACTCGGCCCTATCTCACCCAACATCTAGCCTCAATTTCTGCTGGTCTCATCTCTTACCTCTTCCCACTCCACTGCCCTGGCTCAGACGCGGCCCAGCCCAACCGGCCCCGTCCCTCCCCTGCTGACCCCCTTTCCCCCGAGGAAGCCCTCTGATGCACGGAGCACTTCCCGTCCTGCATGGACAGGCTGGGCGTGGCAGAGTGGCCCACGTGCCCTGACCTGCCTCTGTGGCCTCACCCGAGAAGGTGCTGACAGAATCCTTTCTGCGGAGGTCAAAGCACTTCATGAAGCCATCCTGGGAGCCACTGAGCAGCACATGGGCTTCGGTGGGGTGGAAGCAGACTTTGTTCACTGTGCGCTTGTGCTCTGTGAACAGCTGGTCCTGCTTATTCCGGGATGGCCGGCCCAGGTTCCACGTCACCACCACACCATTGGTGGCTGCTGTGGCCAGCAGGTTCTCATCCATCTGGTGCCAGACCACGTCAGCGCAGCTCAGGTTAAGTGAAGGCTTGCGCCCCACACGCAGGTTCAGCTTCTCCACGAATTGCTCCTCCTCGATGGCATAGATCTTGAAGATGCTGCGGCCTGCTACGACCACCTGGGCCGCGTCACGGCACACGCTGATGGCGTTGGCAGGAGCATCCAAGTGGCAGTGCATGGTGCGGCCTGTCAGCACGCTGCCACCCAGGGCTGTGGTTACACGGGACATCTTCTCCATGGCTGTACAGGTGATGAGGTCAGGGGTCAGGAGATCAGTGAAGTGGGCTGACCTGGTCAGCCTGAGTGGGCCATCAGTTCAGACTTCCAGCCCAGGTTGGGAACCTCAGAACTGCTTGGGCCCGGCCTGGTCAGTCTTGGTGAGCCAGTCCAGGGCAGTCCATCAACCAA